ACACACACACACACACACACACACACACACACACACACACAGATCATTAACTACAGCTAAAGTCAAATGTCTCAAACTGATCTTCATAACATCTCCTTTATTTTCCCACAAAAAACCTCCAAAAATCTGTGGCTGCTTTTTTTTTTCTTGCAAAGGAACTCGGTGCGTGTCCGTGTTTTAAAACTTTGTGAATTATTTAACAGCGTAGTGAGCTGGATCTCATCGCTGCCATAAAAGAACAATCATCAGTCTCCCCGTCACTACAAGTCACACTTAACAGAATCAAAAGGGACGATCAGTACGTACGAGCAAGAAAGTACTGCAGGAGGCCGGATAATCTGCAGCCAGTCAGACCAGTTATTGGTTAAAAATTTACAGCAGACTTTACAAAACTCCAGCTTTTTGAACTCAGTTTAACATAATTCTTTCTCTGGTGGTTACCTGAGCAGACTCCCACCCTCCCTCATCTTGTCTTCTGAGTAAGCAGCATCATCTTCTCTCTCCGAAATCTCATTTAGGGCCTGAAAGGCAACAGACACAACAGTTAAAACATGTTGAGGGAAGGGGGTTCAGTGCATAACCCTATTTAATCTAAATATTGTGGTATTTTGGCTCACTTGTGCAACACAGTTTAGAGAAGTAAGTGCATCTTCTCCTAGAAACAGACACTGAATGATAAATTTGTGCTTCTTAGATTTTAATATACTTTTAAATATAACCTCTTAAAATCTAAACTGGTGTTTGTGAATAATGTTTCACACTCTGACTTCATAGCTAAACGAACTAATAAATATAAAACAATGAAAGAAGAAATGAAACACGCATATTAATGAAGATGACGCTATCAACTAAAATGAAAACATAACATAACTTGTTTTTACCTTTATTTTAGATTAAAATTTACATTAAGATGAATTTTCATTAGTAACAGCTCAAAATCTAAGGAAGATGTTTTTTCACATAGTGTAGCTATCACACACATGCACAAATTTTCCTTTGTCTCTTCAAAGGTCATGTTGAACTCATACAGATGTGCATTACCTCCTTCATACAGGGAAACCTCTTCTCACTCTCCAGTCTGGAGGGTGGAGGGACCTCCGGTCCACTCATGGGGTCCAGAGACAGTGCGTCCAGGAACAAGTTGTCTGCTGAGCCTTTGAGCCCCATCGCGGCCCCCTGCCCCTCCAGAATGGCCTCGGAGTCAGAGTGGGAACGTGTGGGGGGCATCAGGACAGGTGTAGCCGTACAGGGGGAGCGGGGGGTGTGAGGCGACCGGGGAGCCTGGCAGGGACTGTCCTGAGGTGAAAACATGCCTCTGTAGGATGTGCTGCCATCTTTAACGTCAGAGCCCTCACCTCGCCGAGAGTTAAGTTCCCTCTGCATCTGCATGAAGTACGACACATGTGCTGGATAAGAGTCTGGGAGCTTATTACCTGTAAATGCAGCGAGCACAGTCATCAAACATAATAAAACTGTAATTACTAAATGTGTCAGGACAATTTTAAACAAATATAAGCGGAATAAATATGCGAAAAAGGTTTGAGTTGTGTCTCTTTCCTGATGCTCCTTTTTCAGACGGACAGTGTTGAGTGTATATTCATGATGTGCTGATCTCATTATTTTTATTTTATTTTTTTTTATGCAAAAATGTAATTTTTACCACGTGACATATTTTATATGTTCTCTTTTATTCTTATTGCTATCAAGGTGGTCAAATAAGTTTATGGGATAATAAAATCCAATTAAGAAGCTAAACTAAAAGAACAGCTTGATATTTTGGAAAACACTGGCATGTGGCATGTGTTCAATGAAGAATGACACAGATCTCATGTGTGCATGCCAAGTTTAAACCAACTGAGGTGCCAAACGGTAACACAGACTGGCAGAACCACAGAGACCAGCCGGCCTAAGTTTGTACAAAGGTATAAAAAAAAGCAATCTGACTTTTTACTCTATGTATGCTAAGCTAATCAGCTGCTAGTGAAAGTGGCACATTTGCCATAATGAATCTTGAGGTCGATGATTAAGAATTTAAAAAGCTCTACAGCTTTATATCAGATAATATACACGTTTTTTTCTTTTCATGAGCAGCAAACAAATTTTTATTTGACATCAAGTTCCCTTAAAATTAATTTTGAAGAGTGATCTTTAAACACACCTCTCTGAGACATGAAACATTGCCACTGCATGGTTTTAACCAAACTCATCCATTCACCCTACTGGCTCCTTCACAGGTCTAGCACTATAAAGCATGCAAAACCTCTTATGTGGTCCTGCAGTCAAGGGAAGTGTGCAAAAAAGCTCCCATTTTAAAATGCACAACTTTAGTGCAGAAAGTTGTCCGATCACACGTTAGTGCACTCGCAGTGCTGGACCCGTGCCTGGATACAAGGGAGGGTTTCATCAGAAAGGCTACATCTGTACATGGATGCAGCTTGTCTGCCATTATTAGTTGATAGTACACAGCACTCAACTCTCTCATTAAATCTAGCTCAAAAAACAAAACAAACAAAAAAGCCAACCTGGTGATGCTATGATGCCTAAATCGAGGCTCCAAAATGGGAATTCCCATTAAAGTGTATCTATCCTTTAATTTAGCTTCTTCTGCTCCTTTTAGGGGTCACCTCCCTCTCACCCTGTCCCTAGCATCCCTCTGTCACACCAACGCTCCTTACCACCTTCACTACCTCTGCTCCTTGCACATGTACATCTCCATCTGTGTTCTTCTTGGGGAACAGAGCTTTCAGTCGCTCTGCTCCTCGGCTCTGGAACTCTCTTCCTCCTGCACTAAGAAATATTGACTCCCTCTCCGTATTTAAGACACAGCTCAAAACACATCTGTTTAAACTGGCTTATTCGCTTTAATGGTGATTTTATCTGTTGTCACGCTCTGTTTTGTAATTTTAACTTATTTTATGTATTTTATGACTACTGTTCCTTTTATTAATTGTGTTTTTTGTAAGGTGACCTTGGGTTTCTGAAAGGCGCCCTCAAATAAAATGTATTATTATTATTATTATTCTCATTCACAACCATGTATTCTCTGATGACTTCACTCCTCTTCTTTCCAGTACATACCTCCACCTCTCTTTTTTTACATTATCCATTTCTGTTAAGGAGAGGAGGCTTTTACCACACACGCGCTATATTCTTGTGCTCTGTTACTCCAATGTGACTCGCTCAGTAATCCACCTGCAGCACTTGAGGTTAAGCACCTTGTTCCTGGCTTGAAGTTTAAGGAAGAACAGCCACATTACTCATTCACTTTCAGCCTGCCAGTCTGAGCAGTTCAGTGGATGACCTGCTCTTTATAGTTTCCTGCAACATTGCTGAATAATGCATTTCCACCTCCTGCTCTGCATCTCCATTCAGAGGTGCATCAGCAGTTTTTTCCCCCTCTCTGAGCTGGAAAGCGTAAACTATATTCAGAGAGGTGCATTCCTGTCCCCTGGTCTGAATGATAATACGCTCACACACACATCATATTAATCAGTGTGCAGTTCTACTTCCTGCCCTGAACATCAAAACGCAAAAAAGTGCAATGCTACAGCTCGTCTAATTAAATCGCACAAAGGACATAAATTATTCAGTTATGCTCAATTATTGCATCTACTATAATCGCCCTGAGTCCTTTGTCTGGGTTTCTTTCTCTCATACCTTTATTAAAACACTGATGCAGCAAAAGAAATGCATAAAAAAATCTATTAGCTATAATTTTGTTGATTGTCTCCCCTTAAAACTTTATTTCTAAAAAGTTTTAAATAGCTTTAGTTTTTCCCTCTTTATCTCTGATGTCTCAGGTCTAAGACTCGTGCAAAAGACATTCAGAGCTCACAGATTAAATAATGATTATACGCTGCCATCTTTGCCTAGTCTCCCTCACAAAAGAGGGATATTAGGCAACCTCAGATAAACTTTAAGAACTTCTGTCTAGTCATCTTTGTTGGGCAGAAATGCCAGGACTCGGATGAATGCAATGATCATAATATAAAAATATGGCAAAATTATTTTTTTTAAAAATTGCTTCATGTTTTCTATATCAAAGCACAGAAAGCAGTAACGTGACGACGTGCTACAAAAAAAAAAATGATACAAGACCGTCTCTCAAATATGAAGATTTAAAGCTTTTCTCTGTTTTATATCAATGTTTAAAAGGAATATTTAGGTTTTTTGCCTGTGAACAAGAGAAAACACGTCTATAAAATGGCAATAACTGTGAAAAATGTTTTGGCTATTTGTAAGAGTTAAGAATTGAAATGTCTGAGTTTTCTTTTAACTTACTTACTGGTCAATAAATCAGGAAAGTTCAATCCCAGAATGAAACCTGCAACTTCTACTGTTGTTTCTTGATAACGTTCAGCAGGAGGAGCTGCTGAAGTTGTCATGGAGCTGTAAATCTTCACATTTATTTTAGGAAATTGTAGTCCAGTTTAAAGTTTAAAGTTAATTTCAAACCTTTTAAACAGATGAATCCAATGATTACATTACAGCAAAGACCTCAGATTGAGTCAAATCTTGCCAAATCTTTCCTTCTTTGCCATTCTTACCACTACTATTCTGTCTGTTTTTACTCCCGCCCTTCTCTCACCCTCTCCATCTTCCGGTGGAGCTCCCGCATACTGCTGTCCCACTCCTGCCGCTCCCTCTCGAAGTGCTCCAGGAGATCGACCCTCTCCCGGTTCCACCTCTTCTCTCCGTGCTGCAGCTTCCAGCGCAGGTCCAGCGACGTGTTGTGGCTCTCGGCGAGCAGACGACGATGCTCCTCGCGCTCCAGCTTCAGGGCCCACTCGGTGTCTGCAGCTGGCTCCCCTTCGCCTCCCTGCGCTTCACCTCGCACCTTACCATGCTCCTCCTCCTCCAGCTGGTCGAAGACGAGACACAAATATTGAAAAGAGACGATAAATAAAAAACACAGAAAAAGAGAAAATACCAGAGAATAGTAAAAGTCTAAATTTTTATTAGCATTTCTGTTTAATTTGGCTTTAACGTTATTAACATGAAGGCAAAACACTTATTATTAAAAACCATCCTACTCTTTTGTAATTTCTATAAAAGACCGCTTTAATTTTAGAGCACAACATTTGTAAATAGAAAGTTTTCAGACAATTAAAAGATCTTCTTCCAAACTTTCTGTCAGCTCAGTAACATACAAACGTGAGTGCAGCCAAGCAGGTCACCAAACCACAAAATAATAAATCAATGTCAAAACAGAACAGAAAAACGAATGAAAAGGCGTCGGCGGAAGCAAACGCTCACTCTCACACTACGAATGATCGACACGTGCGGACGAGCCAACAATTAAACGGCTCACTGGGACTGATCGGTGTCATTTTGCAATGCTGAAAATCACAGTGTTATGCCAGCAGCAGCATACGTGTTAGATGAAGATGTAAACAGACGCTGTAGTCTTTAATAAGTAAGAGAAAACTTTTACAATGCAAATTTTGGTTTGAATCCTAATTAACAAAGGAAGGTTTTAGGCATGACGTTGGTTCAAAGAGCAGCTTGAAGAAATATATTCTCAAATAAGAGAGTAGTCGATAAAAACCTTTGGGAAATTTAAGAGAATCAATATCACTTTCAGGCTTCTACTATACATACTTGTAGCCAGAAGACGGTTCGCTTAGCTTAGAATAAAACTGAAAAGATAGGGAATGTAGGTTGGTCCTGAGAGCTCAGAGCATTTCAAATTGAAAAAAATGAAACAAAAGCAAATTAAGAACTCTTTACCACATCTTCCTACAGGACAAAAATAAATAAAATTAAACAAAACAACTATATTATCATATTTTCAGTGCTTCCCAGAAACATTTTACTCTTGTAAGTATCAAAAAAAAAACCTAACGACAGTCTCTAACTTTATATTCCTCGTGTTTTGTCCGTTTACTCGGCCTGTAGCAGTATTCAACAGCCTGTTATCAAAGTTCTACTGAACTGAGGGTGAAAGTCACCAAACACAGACATTAAAAAAAAAAGGACGAGGCAGAGAGAAAATTAAAAGCAGCAGAAGGCCTTTCACTTTTCTCTCACTGCACTGCTGCTCTCGGTCCCTCTCCAAAGCATTGCTGCTCACTCACCTAATCAACACAACAAAGCAGCGCGGTTCTTGTGCCGGTCCAACTGTTCCCACTTTTCACGCTGAACTCTTTATCGTTACACAATTACTGTGCAGACATGCAGGTGAGAATGATCTTCTTTTATAACTTAAGGGCCAAATAAAAGGGTAAAATGGCACGATAAGCGATAAAAACCATCCACTTTATTGCCCAGGTGAGGCTGGAGCCTAACCCAGCTGTCACGGATCGAGAGGTGGGGGTAACCCCCGGACAGGTCACAGGTCTGAGGGGGGTCCAATCAATCAGTCACTCTCACCTTCACACTTACATTCAATTTAGAATTGCTAACTAACCTAAAGTAGCCGGAGAAAACCCACATAGGAACAAGGTGGAACAAACAAACACCACACCTGGATCTGAACAAAGGACCTTCTTGCTGCTAGGTGACTTTTTCCCAACTTAAAACCAGTTCAAATTAATTAAAATGAATTGAATCTCTGCTGTACACAGAGAAACGACAAGAGAGGATGACAAAGCGGTTATTCTGCAGCAGGCAGAGACAGTTCAAACCTGAATTTATATGTCTAACCACACAATAGCGAGGAGGGGGAGGAAGAAGAAGGGAATCAGACATTCTGCAGATTCTTCAAAGCTGCAGAACAACGAGAGGGAAGCTTCTCTTTCTGCAGAGCGGAGCTTTGTAGTCTTCAGACATGCTTTCATTCCAAGACATAATGGTACAGAGTAGAGTCTGCAGCAGGAGAGTCGTGCGCACGGACCTCCTCAAACACGAGCTTCCGTTCTCTCATTCACAAATATTTGCCTTGTAGGCTTTTTATCTGTTTTAAACCTGCCTAATTTGACACCGGAGGAGACGATGAGCACACTCAGAGCTGCTGAACGAATGCTATAAGTCAGACTCTGCGGTATTATTAATACAGACAGCTCTGTAGGGGCGAGCAGGTGGCCAGACCAGAGCATGAAACAGGAGGCAGCGTAAGCAATAACATAATCACTGGTTATGTCCACAGGTGAGAGCAATTTCCAATTCTACTCTGGTCTACTGGGCTGTATAATAATCCTGAATGAGAAGTATATTTCTAAAGTCCTAATAAGTGAAGCAAGTAAAGAACTCTGCACAGTTATCAGAGCAAATAAGTACATTAGTTCCCACTGTGGCCTTCAGCGACCTCTCCTCTGTGGAAGGATTGAACCATGTAAGAGATTTACAGATTAAAAGCGCAAGAGTTAAAAAGATAATCTTCCTCCTTTGACTCGAGGCTCTTAATTGGTTCCCAAAG